ATCAAGAAAGAATAAACTAGTTTTAATTAAGAAAGGACTTGTATAGCTGAAGTTCCTCGGAAAGAATTTATATCGAAATTAACAAAGGAACAGATAAGTAACAAATTGGTGTCAGAGAGTGGGATGAAATAAAAATTAAGATGGAAACAGAAGTGGCAAATCAAACTACAGCTTAGCAGATTTGATGGCAGCAGTACAAGAACAGCAAAAGAAACAAGAAGAACGAGAAAAGAAACAAGAATAGAAATTACAGCAGTTGTTGGGGGAAAAGAAAAGAAACAAGAAGAACGAGAAATGAAACAAGAAGAGATATTATAGCAATTGTTGGAGGAAAAAGAAAAGAAACAAGAAGAGAGATTAAAGCAGTTGTTGGAGGAAAAAGAAAAGAGACAAGAAGAATGAGAAAAGAAAAAAGAAGACAGAAAACAGCAGTGGCAAGAAAACCTGCAACAGTGGCAACTCGAACAGCAAAATAACCAAGAGAGACTACAGCAGTGGTTGAAGGAGAAAAAAAAATGAACAAGAAGAAAGTCTCCAATAGTTGAGAGAAAGCCATCATACCCAACTGGAAAAGATTAGTAAATTTTAATGTGAATTAAATACATTAAAGGATGATTTACTGTATTTCACACAAGGAGGATATATTAGCCATGGACCTAATCAGCCCCAGACAACAGGAAGCCCCTTCCAGACCCCACAGCTAAACCCTAATGTAGACATCTTCAGTCCTGCCAGAAGTCACATTCCAGACATGAGTGTCAGCAATAGGGGTGATCTGGTACAAAGGAAGCCACAGGAATTCGATGGGAAGGCACCATGGGAAGCATATAGAGTACAATTTGAGCTTCTGGCAGAAATTAATGGATGGACAGAGGAGCAAAAATCAGTGTACCTAGCAACAAGCCTGAAGGGACAACCACTGGAAATACTTGGACAGTTGTCAGCAGATGACAAGCACAACTATAGAGCACTGGTAGCTGCTCTAGAGCTCAGGTATGGAACTCAAAATCACTCTGAAGTCTACAGGGCTAGGTTTAGGACGAGAGTCCGTGCTAAAGGGAAAAGCCTGCAAGAGCTGGCACAGGATTTGGAAAGTAGGGCACACAAGGCCTACCCAACTGTGCCACCCAATGTCCTGAAGTTGTTGCTGAGGGATCAGTTTGTAAACACCTTGGACAGTCCATAACTGAAGATACAAGTAAAGCAAGCACACCCCTCTACTATTACAAGATGCAATGACCAGAGCTCTTGAATTCCAATCCTATGTTAAGTCCAGCACAGAGGTACCAAGGTTGGTACAGTCATCAGGATTCAATGCCAGAAAAGAACAGCTTTCAGAGAAGTTTGAGGGACTTTGCTGGCACTGTAACAAACCTGGGCTCAAGAGAGCTCAATGCTGGCAACTTCAACACAGAGAATATGTCAAGGCAGGAAAAGCTGCTACCCAGAAAGGTTGTTGGAACTGTGGAGAGCAAGGACATATGAAGAGCCAGTGTAAGAAGAATACTACCAATAACTCAGCTTCGGGGAAAGCAGTAGTGGTTGGTGTTGAGAGATGCCCACTAGCCCCTTTTGTGAAAGTACCAACAACTAAGTGTAAAATGGCAAGCACACACAGTGAGCAGACACTTAAGGAAGGGGTATTGTTTGGTGTGTGCCAGGAGGTAGAGCTAGTCAATGTTAAGGCAAGAAATACAACCATAAAGAAAGGACATCCTCTCCCAGAACATTTAACTGACCTCTATGAGAAGAGCATAGTCCATTTGTCATCATCATAGGCTCTTCAGGCTAGGGAACTTTGGTGAATTATGCACACATCTTTTCAAAAGGAGATCATAACCTCGGCTGCACAGACCTTGTGGAACACAGAATAAACACAGGTAATCACCGTCCAATAAAGATCCCTATGGGGAGAATAGCTCTGGCAAAGCGACAAGAGATGGAGAAGGTCATGGATGGCCTAATTAAGGAAGGGATAGTCGAGAAATCAGATAGTCCCTTGTCAGCTCCTATCGTGTTAGTCCAGAAGAAAGATGGGACCCAACATTGCTGTGTGGACTTTAGGGCTCTTAACAGTATAACTGAAAAGGACTCATAACCACTTCCAAGAATTAATAATACTCTTGATGCCCTAAGTGGAGCCAGGTGGTTTTCAATTCTGGACTTAAAATCGGGTTTCCATCAAGTGAAAATGGCTGAAGCAGATAAACCTAAGACTGCACTAAGTTATGGCCAATGTCTCTGGCAATACTGTGTGA